GAGATAGATACAGAAAGAGAGAGAGAGTGAGGGTGGCGAGAAGAGGGGGCGGAAGACAGACAGAGAGAGCGAGAGAGAGATATGACGAATGGGTGACCGTGGGATGCCGCCCCTGGAGACATTTCACCGCACGAATCGCCGGGTGACGAAGTCGCGTCAACGACTGGCGCTGCCAAAGCGGTGGCGGGTGGACGCGAACGTGTAAATGAAGCCTATCAACGACAGCGTAGCAATGACGGTGTCATTAGGCACGTCGTACGTACATACGACGCGCGACAAATACGACGGCTACCACGTATGTCTCGGAGACTTCCGGCGGAGCGAGGCTGCCGCCAGCGTCTGGCGGACCATCACGAACGGCGCGTAAGTGTGCGCCACCGCGTACGTGCTGTTTACAACGTTGACCGGTTTACAGGGCTCCGTTTCATCATTTTACGCGCTCGCTCTAATACGACAAAGCGTGGGGATGTGAATGGAGAGTGTAAATTGTCGAGTGTCGCGGCTGGAGCTCAACCAGCTTGTCTATCTGCAATGCTGCGAATGACGAGCGTGCCGTTTTCCAGAGTTGATGAGAAGTAACGCGAGTGAGATGAGGGCCGCTGAGGGTTGATATGAAAAAGAGGATCTAAGGCCCTAATGTCATCGAAAGTGGACGGTGATTTGATTCGTTCGTTTCGTGATAATTAATCCTCGAACAATAACGCTCGGGACCGACCGAGTGAGATCGTGTGGCGTTTAGGATCGTTCCATGGATCGATTTGGATCACTTCGGCGGTCGGCCCTCGGTGAGCTTTAAGCACGAGGTAGTCCCGTATGTGGCGATGGAGCCAGCCGAGTGCCTGGAGCCGCTGAACTTGGTGATCAAAAAGGACGACACTGAAGACAGCGGGCCGACCAGGACTGTGATCGGTGTGAAGATCGCAGAGGCGTCGATCGACGAGGAGGAGAAGGACGCTGTTGTGGCTGAGGAGAGCGCGATCGAGGATAATATGGCGATACTCCAGGACGCTGTCAAGTCTGCCGAGTCCGGTGGTTTACCAACCGCGGATCACAAACTCTTGACCGCGCTCTACATGAGCAGTCTCGTGCAAATGTCGAGCTTAAGCGCCCCGCGCGGCATTGCGCCGCCGCCATACGGCGCTAGCCAGCAGCAACAGCAAAGCTTTATGCAGCTGCTGGCGATGGTGGAGGCACGACATCGCATGTGGCAGCAGATGAACTGGCCATTGCCGCAGAGCTTTCTGAGGAGCCCGCTGACGCTACCACCGACCGCGCCATCCTATTTTGACGGCGCAACAACGACGCCAACACCGACGCCACCGAACCTGTCTGACCAGCTATCCCAGAACTCCGCACCGACCTACCCCCTGTCCTGTGCGAAATCTGAACCCCTCAATTCCGAGGTTAAACAGTCCTACTTCAATAAACGGTACACAAATGTGATCAATGGGCTTTGTAGAATCAGCATTAATCGCGCCCAACAAATTCATTTTGAGTCTTACATGTGTGTTGCAGGTCAATGATAGAACAGAAAAATTCCACATCGTTACCTACGGACAATGCGAAAGCTCAGGACACGGGACAACAAAACAATCAAGGTAAGGATTTAAGGGTGTTTGAAATCACATGTGGATAATCGTAGTATTAGAGAGGCCTGACATTGTTCAAAGTGAATGATTTATTTAATCTCGTTGTTATTTCGACAGATAAAAAGAAACCCCATATAAAAAAGCCTTTGAATGCGTTTATGCTGTATATGAAGGAAATGAGGGCGAAGGTTGTGGCAGAGTGTACCTTAAAAGAGAGTGCCGCGATCAACCAAATATTGGGAAGACGAGTGAGTAAATCTTTTTACTTAGATATTTTTTACACTTAAAGTAAATTGTTCTACTTCGGAGTAGCAAATTGAATATCGTAAATTATTTTGAATAATAAAGTACTGGGTTTATATCTGGGTTAATAAAATTAATTTATTGCACTCTGATGTAAGAATAATTGAAATATGCAAATGTCAATATTTTTTCTCATCTCATAATGAAACAAGATTTTTGAAATTTTTCATATTGAAAAAAAGATAGAGAAGAGAGATATAAATTTAATTTATTTCTAAGCAAAAATTTGATTTCTAGCAATTTACTCAGTGAACTTAATTCTACGATTAAATATATATATATATATCGTTATAAACGAAAAAATTTTACTTATGAATTAGATAAATTTTTATATTGAACCGGTTCGATTATTGAAATTTTTATATTAGACATCAAAAGTTTTATTATTTTGATTTTATAATATTTGAATGAGAAAAAAAGAGAAAATATTGATCGACTATTTATTAAAAATATATTCCAGACGAATTTTCATTCTGGATATACAAGTATTGCATGTATTTTTAACGCTTTTCTCGAACGAATCATCTATCGGGTTACTAATCAGAGCTAACTAACCGTACCTACTAGTATCTCAGTACAAATAGAGCATTGTAGGTGGGATCTAAGGAAATCTCAGATTCATCTTGATAGAAAGAACGCTGTGACAAAAGGGAAGGGCCGAAGGGTGGTTTTTGTGGGTCTCATGGGACGAGTCACACGAGTCAATGATAGTGACTTGTCCACTTGTCGCTAGTGATAAATAAGTTTGAGCAAGAGAGGAAGAGAGAGAGAGAGAGAGAGAGAGAGCGAAAGAGAGAAAGAAAGGGAAAGGGAGGGAGAGATAATGGGGACGGTGCACGGTGATAAGTACTGTGAGACTGTGAATCTGTGAATCTGAATTTTGGGGATATGACACGCAGTGGCACTCGCTAAGTCGGGAGGAGCAGGCGCGGTATTATGAGGCGGCCAGGCAGGAGCGCCATCTGCATCAGCAACGATATCCCGGCTGGAGTGCTAGGGATAACTACGGATATGGCAGCAAGAAGAAGAAGAGGAAGAAAGAGCGATCCGCAGATCCCACCGGAGGTACCACTTTCCAGTGCTAGAACAGCAGGCCCTTAATAATTCATAATTCATATATAATAATTGCTAGTATATACCTATACTGGTTGATTGAAACGATCAAAGTCTCTGTGCGTTTCTTTTTTCGTACGTTTCTTTTTTTGCGTTATTTATTTATTTATTTATTTATTTATTTATTTATTTAGGTTTTCTGGCATTCAATCTTTTTCAACGTGTGCAGGCTATATATATATATATATATTTATCGACATATATGTATATCTCTTGGATATTTTATATATGTACATATATGCATATATGTATATTTTTTCGTTTTTCGAAACTGAATTGGATTGTCTGTGGGGATTGTGGAATGTGGCACAGCAGAGAATTAAAAAAAAAAAGAAAAGTACAAAAATAAGAAACAAAAAATGGAAGAAAATTGACACGGACTCTCGCGGCATGCAATGCAATTCTTTTTTTTTTATCTGGCCAAACTCCCTAAAGCGGTATTCGTTCTCCGGAGAACAAGAAGAAATGAGACGAGACAAATAATATCACCGATGATGCGATAATGAGAGCGAGAAAACCAAAGCCTTAGGTACGGGATGTCTGGTAGAGCCTAGGGCCTGATCGTTTTTTCTCTTTTTTGTTTTTCGCTGCGACATCTGCTCACAGTTGCTTGTCTTTCAAGATGAGTCATGCTACGGCGATTTGACGAGAATTGTCCAATGACAATATCTCGCCTTCTTTGAAATTCATTTCTTCTCTTTCTTCCGTTTTCCCGTAAATATTCAATAGTATATATACCTGAAATAAACGTTTTTTTTTTGGGAAGTTGATAGTATTTTATCATAAGTCTTACATCGAAGTCTTTCCTTTATTATTTCAATGACGTGGAGAAGAATTTGAGGCAGATGGCAAACGGAAATACATACTGGAGGAACCAGCGTTTTTTTTTTAATGGAAAATGCGTTCATATTACCGAAAGGATTGAAAAACAGTGAAACCTAATTGAATCGTCTGATAACAAATTTGTAATTCTCAATCTTTCAATTGTATTTTAATAAGTATGAAATTAAATCAATAAATAAAATTTATTAGTTGGTTGAAGTGATATATTATTATTATAATATGTATAATAAGGATTGTATCTTCTAATTATTTCAAGTATATCAACTGTATATAGCGTCCACATTTTCTTCAGTGTATAGACATGCAAACATTACTCTTTCACTTTTTCATCCGCACGCGTACTCCATTAAAATTTTTTATCGTCTACTCGCTAGGTCGTATTCTCTATCAGACACCCTGTATGCCTTTAGGTTGTTAATATCGACCACATGCGACGAATAGCGGTGCGACCGAGGGGGAGGGGACAACTTAGGCTGTTCTTCTAGCACTTTAAACGGAAAGTAGGGACCCCAGTGTTACTGAAATGCTATGAGGCAACGAGATATTGCTAAAAAAAATAAAATAATAAAATAGATAACGAAAAAGTAATAAAAAAAAAATTAATTTCTAAATAGAGTTAGCTAATTTTTATGCAATTAGGGTGGCGGCAGTAGCATTAGTGAATTTTCTTTTTTCTTGATGATAAAAATATTGTTTAGTCCACACACGGTTCATGTACAATTACAAAAAGTGTTTGGTTCTCTCTCGGTAGTGGCACGCGCTAGGGCGAGAGGAACAGGCCAAGTATTATGAGTTGGCGCGACGGGAGAGACAGTTGCACATGCAGCTGTACCCTGACTGGTCTTCCCGCGCAAATACCAACCGAACTAAGAAGAGGAAGCGCAAACAAGACACAAACAGTGATCCTGGAGGTACCCACATGCCTCACTCCACACATTCTTACAATCCCCTCGTCATAAGGAAAGAGCCCCCGCCCCCTCCACCCTATTCATTATTACATATATACTATTATATTATATTATACATTCTTATATTGCTACACTATATTATGTTGCATGTTTCCTCCCCGTCTTAGGGGTTTTGGGTCGATATCTATATTATATTATATTATATATATATATATACATACATATATATATTTTATTATAACTATATTATTAAACACACACGCATATACGTCCACATATACATATATGTATATATATATAAATGTGACTCTATTATATATATATATGGTCTTTTACAATTAGTCGCGAGTACGGACGTGCACATACGCATGCGCACGTGCGTGCCTATATATCTGCATTACACATTGGCAACATGTGACACACATTATTATGCACAGGACACATGCACACATCACATACTCACGCGTGCGCGCACACACAATCGAGACAAACATCCATGCATTTTATTATTAATTACGTATACAACTTTGGGGACGCTGGCCATTTTGCATTTTTACAGGGACCTACTCCGCAATCAGACAATCCTGAGCGTTTAATTTTCTTTCAGCCTTTTTCTCTCTTTCTCTCTCTCTCTCTCTCTCTCTCTCTCTCATTCATTCATTCATTCATTCATTCATTTTCTTATTTTATAAATATTTATCTCTTATTTTTCCCTCCATTATTCTTTCTCACTATCATTCTCTTATTCTTGTACTTCGATTCTTAATTCGTACATTTATTTTTCTTTGATCGTTTCAATGTTGCCTGAATTCCTTGATTTTTATTCTAATTTTATTATTTTTGTTCTATCGTCACTTAATCGAGTCACTCAGTTTATTCTCGACCTCCACATACGAAAATTTTGTACGATAGAATGTTCACATCCATAATATTTTTAATATTTCTTTAGATATATTCCGGAATTTTTATGTTTATAATACAAGTCACGACATTTCGACCAAGTAGATCTTTGATCGTGTTTTTAAGCTGTTTTAACGTTGCATGCCATATTATTTGTTTGACAAAGATAAGCCATTCATCTAGAAAGTGACGTAAGTCTGATTTTGAAATAAATTAAATGAATTTATTTTAACGTCTTATTGAAATTTATACCATTAAAAAGTGAATTTGCATCGCTTTCAAAATAAATGATTCGCATCTTTGTCAATTTTGCGTGGATCCTTCCTCGAAGACTATCAACCTCACTGTATGAGATCGTCTGAAGTAGAAATTTACGCAAATACATTCTTGTATTTTTATTTATTTACGTCATATTTTTATGTAAAATCTGTTTTTTAATGTGTTATATTTGATATCGATAGCGTCTTCGATGAAGATCTTATGACATATTGTTTACAATCCTTTGAGGTCGTAACACCGAAATAAATTTTTGTTACGTTAATTTGAAAGAAATTTTATTCAATTTTGAAATTACATTACTTGTATAAGTACGGGTTTAAATAATCTATAATATTGAATTTTGTAAAATCTTCTCGGAAGGTTGAGAACCCGTAATGCATATTAATAATCGGTGTTCTTGGATCTCAAGGGATTAACATCGTTCTGTTACACGCATGACTAGTTGACATTCGTTGAATTCATTTGACATTCACAGAAACATAAGTACGTTTGACGCAAAAACTCGGGCACTCCATACTACGTAGATTACGTCGTTTCTGCATATTGAATCGTACACGACAATTTCGCACGGTTTATCAATATATAATAATACTTATTTATATTATATATATATATATATAAAAACATTGTTTTTTTTCTTTACCACGTGTGATCATAGATTACTCGAGTTGATTCTTCACATCTTTCTCACATGGCGATGTCAATAACTATGTCATTCTTTTGACAGAATGTACTATGTCGAATAGTAATCCCACTCGCAAACAATTCACGATCATAGCATTAATCATTACTGTTTCCCTTTCTAGGTAATAACATGAAGAAATGCCGTGCCAGGTACGGATTAGATCAACAAAGCCAATGGTGCAAACCCTGCAGGTATGTGTGCCATGTGCGAAGCTTTTTTTCGATATATCTTGTGCTTCAGTGAGAAAACAATTGTTAGATCACGCGTACGATTTTCGTAGTTCGTGTGTAAATATATACTAAATTTTACAGAAGTCAATAATTTGACAATGTCATGTTTGTCGATTAAAAAAAAAAATTTTACCTTGTCTATCAAAAAATTCAATCTAATATAGAGGATATAGTACACGAAATACTTCGTCCACTGATATCCTTAATCTCGCAAAAGAAGATCTCGGATTCTTCCGCGTAACGTCAATCCTCTGTTTCACTTAACATAACGAGTATATAATTTAACACTTTACGGTAATGACACTCGAATAGCTTACTTAAAGTATACTTTGGCGCTTTAAAAGTAACTGGATGATTCAGAAACGTCTGTAAACGTTATTTTCTACATGTACTAATAACCTTCTTCAAGATTGCTCGCGACGTATCAATCACAATTCTAGTATTCTCGATTTTCGCTATCTCGTATCGGTCTCGGACCCCGTTCCGTCATCCACATGTTATCCATATGGAATGACTTAAAGACATCACCAAATGGCATATCTCCGGAACGTATACAGAAAAAGACTTCAAATTAACCATAATGTACTCATATATATAGGCAAAAAATTTGTGTTGATACAAGTGTTTTGTGTTGATACATATTACTTTGCATTCAAATCAAGACTTGCTTAGTAAAAAAATCTTGCATTAATGCAAACTCAATCAAGATTAAAATCTTTGAAACAAGATTACAATATTTTTGTTTATACATGAGCATATTATGGTTGATTTAAGAATAATCTCTTTTTTCTGTGTGTGTATACTGAAAATAAATGATGTTATATTAACAGCATTAATATTTCGTTGAAAATAATTTTGTTAATTCACACATTCAACATTATTAATGAAATAAATATATCATGCTCTTACATTGATCAAATTTTATTTGTTTCATTAATATTATTATGAATTATTAACAAAATTATTTTCGGCACAAAAAAATCCTGTTGATATAACATCATTTTTTTCAGTGTACAAATATCGGTGCTATGCGATGCGATGCGATGCGAAACGTCATGCGCAACAGGGTCGTCTCGTGTCAAGAATAATTCATGTTTGCAATGATGGTACTCCCTTCCTATCGAATCTACAAATATAGCATAGAACGAACGAGGAAAGAAACAGAGAAAAAAAGCACAGCGCGAAGCTGCGCGCTACCATCAGAAAATGTGTCTTCCAAAGAGAAAAAAAAAAGAGAACAAAAAGAGAAAGGGATGTGAATGACCAATCTCCTCCCTAGTTACGAAGTGGGCGCACGACGCCGCCTAACGACGCTCAAACGTGTCCAACTGTACTTGGCTTGTAAATATCGGTTTCTAGAAGCACATTTTCGTAGTTTGTCGCGGTATCACGAGAGCCACCCGTTTTTTAACGTCGATTATACACTGCCTCGTTATCACGGCGTAGCCCAAATGCCCCAACTCCCGGCTGGGTTTGTGAATTTCATGGACCTCATTAAAGGGGCGAGGACGAATCCCATCGAACGGTCCTTTTTCTTTCTTTCCGTTTATTACGCGATAAGAGAAGGTGACAGTCTCGAGAGTAATCACCAGATTAAGCGCCATTTGGAGAACGTCGTAGTCTACCAACGAATCGTGCCAATCTGGCAATCTTTCGTCATTCGCGTGCATGGGAATGAATTAGAAGCGTATAAAATTCGTGTCGTAAAACGTGTTAAATTCGTGTCGTAAAGCGTATAAAATATCATCCTGTGCGATTGCATTTGGTTTGTGTTCATGCTGCCAAAATCAAAACTTATTGTCAGATATCGGGAGCACATAGTTTGTTGCACTTGGACTTGGCCGATTGCACTCTGCATTGAATGCACGTAACTTACATACCGCCTGTATAAACGTCATTGTGCTTTCGATTGGTAATGTTATCACGTATATTTAAAAAATCGTGTTAGAAGATTGTAAATGTAACGTAAATGGCAATAAAAATAGACATAAATTGTAACGCAACCACGAATATTCGTAGCGCTATCAAGTGTGCTAAAATCAATTCTAATAAACCATCGCGTCAGCGCGGATACTTGGGAGACATATTTTCTGATCAATACAACAATCGCTATATCTTCCACTGTCTTTCTTCGTTCCAGTTAAAATCCAAACTTATTCCAACGGGGCCGGCAATGCTGCTAATCACGATATCTACGTAATGCATAAATTATCATATCATTCGACTATCTTTTGTTGCCAAAATTTTATTTTCAAATATTTGGAGATGTCATTTATTATTAGCAAAAATGTTTACACATATATATATATAACTTCTAAAATAGTGATATGAAACGATATCTGTCTGGCATCGATATCGCGTATTCCAAAATATGAAAAATTGCGTATAAAAAATTGATAATCTTGATAGTCAATCTCGATCTGGTAATCGCCGGCCTCGTTTTCGCGATTTTACTATCACAAAGAGATCTAGGGACCGAAAGTTAGAAAAGCGGTAACACGTTCGATATACGTATACACACGTGCGTGTGGGTGACGACACGATACGGTGCGAGATTGAGGTGGGATTAAGCCGCCGATATGTCTTCGCGAGAGAGCGCCCCTTTCAGGCTGGAGGTGGTGGAGGGACGGTGGGGACAGGCGCCGCCCCGCCAAACACCAACACTGCCTCCAATGCCTCCTCGCCTCAGCAAGAACCCACTTATGTTAATCTCTAGTCAAGCCTATCGCCTCCCTTCTACTGCAACACTTCTTCTTAAACAGTGGTCAGTCCCGACTTGAAACCTACGGGCCTTCGTCGGTCCTCGCTATGGCCGGCCAGTCGCTCGAAAGATAACTCACAAATGATTTTACTGTATCTCACATAACTGGATATTAAACTTTTTTCTGAAACTTGATGAGGACATATAGCTCGTTAAATATCATTGTGAAAAGATACGAGCGAAGAGAGCCCCATAGTAAGTGGCACGACGGTGGCCCGTGATGCTCGCATTGTTTCTCATTGTTGTGGCTCTTTACAGCTTATTATTGTTATTTATTTATCCCTCTCGTTTAGTTGGAATTTACTCAGTGTTGCCCTTAGCATGGCTGATCTGTAATATATATCATATTTTATATATATACATATATGTTTATATATATATACACATGTAACAGTTATTTATTCCGATTTCTGAACGTTTGACACTTAGAAGGTTTTTATATATTTTAATTTTTTAGCATGACAGTTCGTACGATTAAGACCGGATGATTGCGGATGTGTTCTTTTCCACAATTTTTTTTTTTTTTTACTTTTAATATCTAATCATTTTTTTTCTTTTGTAATATTTTATACAATAACGTATTTTTATACGTATATAGTAACCACTTAAGGCACTTCCTTGAAAAAAATCTCGCTGGCTGAACGTGTAGAATGGAATTTAAGTTAAAATTTTGCACAATTTCGTATTATCAGATTGACTCTCGGATTGGATTGCAAACAACTGCAATTGCAGTTCTTTTAACAAGATACCTGTTGCCATGTCTATATTAGACATTTATTATTTTTATTTAAACGAAAGAAGAGACGCAAATTATTATTTCTTGTGAGAAATACATTTTTTTCAGTATAAATGCGAAGAATACGATTCTTATTACTCAAAATACTAACTACAATTATACATAACTATCGATAATATTTGAGACAAATAATATACATTGCAATCCAGCACGAGATTTTCAAATGTCCGTTCGTTGTCGCGCACTAAAACTACGAAATCTAACTCCCGTAAATTTTGTGTAATGCTTTGACATCCAAGTGTGACTGCGAGTTAATAGAAACTTCCGTCGTCCTCGGCAGCACGGCCGATGAAACTAATTGATTTAGCTGAGAGATAAATAATGAGAGCCAATGGCAGAGCGACAAAATGTCTGCGAAGCAGTTCTCGGACGAGGTCGGACAGGCTCACTTGTGAAAATTGTGCAGTAGCAAAATGCCTTTCTTCCTCTCGTCACACGGAATCTATTCTTTCGATGTCCACCTTTTACGCGACTGAAAATTTTATTTTGAATACACTTAGTCGCAATATTCCTAGTTCCATGTAACATACTGTATCCATTCAATGTATGTATGTACGTTAATTGGTTTATGACAAATTGATGCTGAAAAAAAGAGCGCGGATCCCTGTAAAATTATCGGATGATAAACGATTCGACAGATGCCCCTTGGCATTTCGATTGAGTTTTGTTTCCTTTATCACGTACAAATTTCTTACACGTTATGCTTGTTACGTCCAAGAATTTTGAGCATGGCATTTGCGAGCGAGTGATCAGTGTCGAGCAATCGAAGCATTGTCAGGCGCACAAAGATTGTTGCCTTCGGTGAGGCATTGGAACATGAGATAATTTACTAACTCGAGATGGAGAAGTTTGTGTGTCTGACTTTGCGATGATGACGTAATCGCATGTTTTTTTTTAGTTGGTAACAATTTTAGATGTAACATTTTTCATGGACACTGCGCATTTCCAACGGTGAGACTTCCACTGAATGTCGTGCTTCACGTAAAGTTTAGAGATAATTGAAGATAATTTAGAGACACACACAAGAATCGAATTAAGATTAAACGTTGTTTGAAAAAATATTACTTTGATTGGTCACATAATATCAGATTGAAGTAATCTTCTAACTATCTTTTGTACATTAAAGAATCATCGTGCTTTTAGAATATTACCAAAATATAAATAAAAATTTATATATTTATTATTTAAAGAAATTATCTCTCACAGATGGAAATTGCAGCAATCGAAAGACAACATTATATTGTATTTTCAATACACCTAAACGAGCATGTACTAATCGGTTAAATGTCGTTATTTGCAGACGTAAGAAGAAATGTATCAGATACATGGGGGAGGGAGGAGACGGCGACGGTGAAGCTGACGGTGAAGCTGAGGATGATCATTCAGAGGATAATCTGGGTAGCGTAGGAGAGGCGGGGACTCCTGAGGAGGACGAATCTTTGAGTAGTCCCGGGGGCCTATCCGCGTTGTCTAGTCTGGCGAGTCCTTCGTTGGTCTTACCATCGCCCTCAAGTCTGGCCAGTCCATGTCCGTGCCCGTGCCCGTTGACGCCCCCGATGCCGCCTCCACCTCTGTCAAACACGAACCAGCCGCCGGCGGTGACAACGACGACGACGACGACAACATCGGTGGCGGCGGCGGCGGCAGCGGCAGCGATGGCAATGGCAGGATCGGCAGTGACATCAGCGGCAATGCAACAACAGCAACCGCAACCACCTCCGCAGCCTCACCGCAACCCCGTCGGCACGAATCCTCACGACATTAACAATCCGCTCAGCGTGAACCAGCTGACCGGACAGTGTATAAAAAGCGAGCCCGCACCTTCGGGCCCTTCCAACCCGGCAATCAGTGTTACGTAGCCCCGGCCGGACCCACGTGACCGAACTGTTGCTACACGCGGTGTCATCTATAGGGTCCGTCTACGTATGCACGCGATAAGAAGGCTGGATAATGAAGAACCGACTGAAATGATGATAGAAACAAAGAAAGGAACTTGGCGAATGAGAAACCAAATAAGAATCGCTTTCGTCGTTTAGCGTTTCTTTCAGTTCCGATCTGATTTGGGGGGAGGGGGGGGGGATTTGACAGAGGCTCAAGGAGACTATAGTATTTTCGAGATGCCTGAAGGTAATTCGAGTGGTTACTTAGTCGAGTTAGATAGCAGTCTACAATCGAAGCGGTACTGTTGATGATTCGAATTTGAACATGCGGAATCATCGTGCGAATCTTCCATCACCATTATGGATTGATAACGTTACCTTCGATTATTTTCTCCTGGCCTCACTCTTATCCATTCGCCGAAATAGAGATCATCCAAAGTCGGGAATAATGATCAAGACGTTATTATACGTGTTAACGAAAGAACAGAAATAAATACTATGTGCAGAAATACTCAGGACCAAGTATTTGGTTGTAGTCACCCGCTCAGCAAAAAGACAAATGTAAGCGAGATGTAAGCGAGATGTAAGCGTGAGAGAATATATGTGCATGTATGCTTGCGAAGCTGGGGAAGAGCAAGGTGCACGTCTGATAATAATGCGACAGAGAAAGCAAGCTCATTGAAAGTGCGCGTGACGCAGCTTGTAGTCCTTGTTACGTTGTGATGCCAATGACTGAGAGTCATGTTCCTGTGCCAGCTACTATACTCTAGGAAAGTAATTATATTGCGGATAAATAGCTAAAAGCATAAAGCGGAGGAGCCGCAAGAAAAAAAAAACGAAGCGGCGCGCTCACGCGTGAGATGCGTTTTATTATCATTTGTTTATTCGACCTCACCTCACACATCAAGTGTGTGTTAAGATATCTAACTTCTATGTATATGCAATTTGTTATTTTTTTAAAAGTCTATACACACCGTGCGGGTTGATTAGCATGTAAGATCCTTTTTATCGACTCCCCATTCACTTTTTACTCGAATATTTTTTTCTTTCTCTTCCCTTTTCTTTTTCTTCCCTTATATCTTATTTTTTATAATGTTACATTGATAAATGGCGCTATACGATGGATAAGGTTCTAAAGGCAACGTGTTTCTGTAAAACTTATCAAGTAAACTTTTCCATTTGTACGGAATGTGACATATTGTTAACTACGTAGTTATTAAGTATGAATACGTATATTGATATAAATGCGTATTAATACTAATAATACGTATTATTAAACTTCGTGTTTTTATTATCTGTCGCAATCGACTTAACATCGCTCAATGTCTTCATCTTTTGATTCTTTTCTCAAATTAGATAATAATTTTAGCCGTCGATTCGCATGCTTTGTACTTTCGATTGAACAAAGACAATAATAAAAATAAAAACAACTCAATGAATGCAATTATTCTCTAGAAATATTGGAACTAGTTGCATCAGTCTCAAATAACTTGCGAGTGTCAAAAGTTTTCGGAAGATTATCCTATAACCTGTTTATTTCTCCCTCATATTTCTATTATTCTTTTTAAACATTTCTATTATTCTTTTCTACTATCTTTTCACTTTTACGTATTAACGTGAGCGTTCGATGAGTGTATAGCAATCCAATGCGACTTGAGAATTAGTTGATTTGTAATCTGTATATTTGCGCATCAGAGAAGTAAGTTTCTCTCTCAAATCGTGAAATAGAAAAATTTATCGTTGGAACAATCGCTCAATAAATGACGATTAGGAACGGATTTTAGAAAAAAAAACATTTTATGCTATCGTATAAAACATAGGTTTTACTAATGTTTTATATATTTTTCTCTCCGTTATTAACGAAGTTTTTAGCATGTGGTTTCAAACATTAGGATAATGCAGATTTTTGTTTCTAGATGCAAAACATTATAAATATTTTTATCGGGAACTTACGTTTTTTCTTATGTTTTATTATATATATATATATATTGTTTATATATCGTATCTCGGTGTAACGTGCAAATGTAAAACGTACTATTTGAACAATTATATACGAAATATAAAATAATGAATATATTTTTCGTTATTTCATTACTTGTTTTTGTTGCGAAAAATCTATTAGCCGATAATCCTCTTTTTTAATTAATGTAATAAAAATTAATCGTATTGTAAAAGATTTTTCGCAATTTTGTTTCGTAAGAGAACAGCTAGTTTTTTTTTTCATTTTTATTCGACTTATCATTAAGATTTTAATCATCGCTAATTTTAAAAAAATTTTATTTTATTAATTCGATTTTTCGAAAATACATATTTACAAAAATAACAAGAACGAATCTTTTTTTGCAATAAGACATTACACAATAGTACGTTTTGTAAAAAGCTAAAAAATTCACATCATATGCGCAATTTCGAGCACACCAATTATATAATTGTGATGAGAATTGTTAATGACTGATCTCGTTTTGTTATGCGACATTTTGATGCGATTCTAGTTTTTCTTTATCGTCTACTACCAAACGGGAAAGAAATGGGCGAGAGGGGTCCTTTGTAACGATTGTTCCGTAAGCGTTTATTCAGAGAGCAGTTTCTCTTTTGTACATAAAATAAATATGTTTTATATAAGATGCATTTGTTGCGACGCATGGGCAAGTGCAATGGAGGTGCCAATGAGAGAATGAGAGTGTGAAATTGCGTGCGTTTGTGCGCCACGAAACGGAAGTAGACGTTGCACAAGGATGCACGCGAACGTCTATGACAATATCTTCCCTTATTTCCCTTCCGCAATGTGTTTCCCCTTCTTTTTTCTTTTTATATTCTTTTGTTTTTCTTTTGTTTTTTTATTTCATTAGCCGCGTTCAGCAGAAAAGCAGCTTGCAATTGTAATTCTTCAACATGGATTAGTTCTTGTTCTTAGCTTCTTATTAGGTCTACATACGTAATCAATAATATTAAACAATTTTGCAACAGTTTTTGCGATTGCTTTTTCTGCTGAACTCAGCCATAGACTGGAATCATCCGGTGTCTGTATAGCGAACATGGCGAAAACCGCTGTAGAAACGCATCGTCGAGTATAGCAGCGAACTAAACGTGCCATAACAACGTCATGCCAATATTATCCATATAATACATATTGTTTTTGACATTATAATCCATTCCTAATTCCGTCGTGGAGCGTCAGCCACTGACGCGAATTTGCCCTTTTCTCCCTCCTTCCCTCTTCACTCGATCCGCCGTTCTCTCTCCCTTCCTACCTGCCTTCTTCGTTTGTCGATCGAACTCTTTAAACAGACTGAAAATGGCATTTAGTAGGAACCTTTTCGCGAATGACGATCTGTATATTACGCGATCGCGAACAAAGCGAAATATTTTAGCAGTACTCGAACGAAAGAGAAACGTAGACTCTCGCGCGTACAGGATGTTCGATCGAGGAACTGAAGTACCTATCGAATAAGTACGGGGCAAGGACAACCAGCAACGTCTCACGAGAGACGAGTGCGGAAAGAAAGGAGGTAGCAGTGGACATTTAGCGACAGATATAGCCAATACGTGAAAACGAGACTCTTCAAGTTTCACGCGAGACATTTGAGTATCGCTGTACATGAAGAGAGTGACGTGAGTGGGACCGATTTCTTCCTGATGAGCGATTTGATTTAGTCGCAAAGGAAGCGATACTCCCTCATAGATCATCTCAAACCCGCTCGCTACTTCCTTTCTCGCTCTGCTAGGAACGACGAGGCGACGTCGTCTAGGATTCGGTGGCGAACTGCTCGGGGACGTGAAAGTGTCCCGGTTTAACCGGGTATAAAGAGAACGTATTCCCTGGGATGCAGAATGCGATTCTCGGAGTGCGAGCAAACTCGCTCGATACGGCCTACAGTCCGCTCGAGAAGAGAGAGTATCGAGATTTGCTCGCGAGTCGCAGATGACGACCCCCCTTCCTCCGGTGACGAGGGTGACCAAGCTCGTGCCGATCGAGTCGGGAGTTCGGAGCTAGTGTCTCGCTTCAAAGGAATGATTGTACCATATTGTAAAGTATCAATCGACAGTTCTCAACTGCGTTGTACAGTGTTTTCTAAGTATCTAGGCTGATAGCGCGCGTGTAATTGAGGAAAAGGAACATTGTATTTATACTAATAAGCGATCTGTATCATTCATTCTCGTATAGCCTGTAATCCTACTCATGTAGATGCTAAAAGTGATTTGTGTCATAAAGAAACCCTATAAATAAAATTAGCACTTTGAGAACGTTGTCGACCGCGTGTACAAATTTTTTCTCTCACTTCCATTTATCTTCTGTTGACTTCGTTTAAGGATTGTGAAATATTTTCTGAAATTCTGAAAATTTTACATAGATGCATGGCACCTTGAGATTCGTATCGTTGTGTAGCTACTTGGCGAGTAAAGAAAAATAAAACGTACAACCGAATATTTATTAATGTTTAGGTGAACAAATGTCTTTCGTGGTTGAAAAAAAATGCAAGCTCAATATGTTAATCGCGTTCAGAGTATATATATTCGGTTGCTTCGAATTGCAATTGTCCACGAATATCTTTGCCATCCTTGCGATACTGTTACACTTGAACATACATGCGGCGCCGTCGTAGGCAGATCTACCCCGATTGTTTCTCGAGCACGGGTCGAACATATAGAATTTACCGTAATGCTGCATCACAGCCATTGTCAGATTGGTTGTATGCAATATTCCGGCGCAGTTCGCGCGGAAGAACATGGCGAGCGCCTCGGAGAGATCGAAGACATGAAGTATCCCGGCGGTGGTATGATTATGAACGTGAATGGTGACCCTCAAATCACCCACGATGAACACGGTGAGCAACTCACTAGGTGAGAGATTCCTGGCGCCCGGTCGAGCGGCTCGGGCGCTCTCCAAGTACAGCGAATCACCGTACTTGAGTACGGTATCAATTAGCTCGGAAGTCCACGTGGATGGCACGTGCAGCAACCCCACTACGACGGCGACCGCCGCAATTGCCGTACTCTGCAAACCCCTGTTTCTCAGACTGAAGGTACGATGATTCATGTGCAGGCTGCCATGCAGAATGCTCAGTTCGTCGTCCACGATAATGTACTCATTCAGCGGCTCCACATTCAACGTAACTGTCTTTTTGGGACAGATAATTGGAACGAGTGGCGCGATACGATCTAAATATGGTTGGAAACCACCTGGACACGGCAATGTCTCAATTATGACGTTCCTTATGATCACTCGACAGATCTCGAAAGTCCCATATCTCTCACGAGGATCAATGTTTGCAAAGATTGTATCGTATAAAGGTTCCAGACAAGCAAACCACATTATACACGAAGTTCCGTTGGAATCTGGCAGACCCTGATCGTTTCTAGCTCTAGGATCGTACATGAAGTAAACACCCAGATCTTTCCAAATAGCTATCATACCGCGATCAGTTATTAGAATACCAGCACGATTATCTTCAAAAAATGTCCGCAAACCTTCCTCCAATAAAATTGAAGAAGGTAGTTCTCGCCGAGTCGTTCTCTTCTTGAGTTCTTCGTCAATCTTTTCTTTCGTCTCTTCTTGCTTTTTATCTTCCGAGACGGAAGGTTCAATCGCCACCAGACCGATTACGGTATTAGGCTCGATGTCAGCAGTCAAAACATTGACACCTGGGAAAATATAAATTCCGAAATTTGCTCAGAATTGTTTTCAAAGAAAAACAGCGAAAAAAGGAAACAAACAAGATATGACAAACATACATACCCACATAGAATACTCTGATAATGTCCTTCGGTTTCAATCTCGATTCAGGTTTGATCTTTCTTGTCTCCTGATGAACGTTACTACCGATTGCCAAAATCTCGTCCATAGTCTTCTTCGTCCAGGTGATGGGACTCTTGACGATTGACATACCGAGCGCAACGACACAATTTGCCGCCGTCTGTCGACCGCGTAACGTCTCGGGAAAGATCTTGTCGCCTTGATGATAGCTTCCACGCAAGATAGCACGCGCCTCGCCCCGTAATTTTCTGTAAGCGTTCAAAGGAGGCAGGTTCGCTGGTCGAATCGCCGGACTAGGATCAAGTTTCCAAAGTGGCGGTTTAGTCCAGTCCAGCACGTCGATCGCAGTAATCTGATAATCGTCTTCAGTTCCCAAATAGCGTAGAAGATAATCTACGAGGAGACTTGTGTCCTTGAATCTAATTAATCGCGGTACCGTTGACACGATTTCTTTCGTATCCGTAGTAATGGACTGATTGGGTATTAGAACATAATACGCGTCATCGGCCTTCCATATGGCTAAATTTTTATTTCCTCGTATAGTCAATACGCCAGCTTCGTATTTGTCGAAGAAATTGTTGATTCCGCTTCGTAAATCTTGAATCTTAGGAGCTTGCCCGGTAAGACTACCCGCTTGAACACAATCCTTGATTGTTAAAGCGATACGCCGAGAAGACAGGAAAAACTCATTGATGATTTCGTTCACTAAGAGTACCGAGCCATTACCGAGTCTCTCAACGCTCTTTGAATGTAGTTTGTCGCCAGTAACGATAACTTGATCGAGAATTGACGGTGTCCACTGTCTCGGTTGGTAGACCTTTATTAATTTTCCATGTTAGTTATCTTTGCGCACTTGAGTTATACATGAAAATTAAGTAAAATTAATTAAGCTGATTATATAAAGAAAAAAAGGAACCTTGGAAAAGATGATAGCCATCGCAGCGATGGCCGCACTTTGTTTGCCACGATTTGCCTCGTCGAACCTCTCGTCTGTCATAGTGACGTTACCGTCGATGCTCCAGACACCGTCTGCGAGTTTGGGAAAATGATGCCACAGATCTTCACCGGAAGTGGTCTTCTTCACGCGTTCGGCTTGGGCCACTCGCGTCTCGTACACATTGTCGATTGAGATGGTGTCGATGACGAAGTCGACATCCCGTACAACTGTTCGAATAACGTCAATTAACGAGGGGATATCAGTGAACCACATCACTGCTGCAGCTCCATCCTCATCTACAGGTTCGCCTTGAGCGTTTCTACCCCTAGGATCCATCGTGAAGAACACTCCGCCTTCTCTCCAAATCGGCATTATTACGTCATCCTGACGAAACACTCCCATCGAGTTTTCCTCAAAAAATGCTTCGAGTAAGCTTATTACATCAGTCATGCTTCCGGTGACAGATCCTTCTTCCAATCCAATTGACATTCGATTGACTCCTATGATAAAGTCTTCTGTGATTTCCACAGGAAGAAGATAATTTCTGGGAGTTTCCTCTTCAGCCTCTTCAGGTAGATTTATCAAATTGTCATTGGCGAGTTTATCGCCAATTTTCAAGATATCGTCTACAAGTTCACTGTACCATAAATGAGGATTGTAAAGTTTTGTCATAGCCAAGGTTGTCAAAGCGTTAGCAGCTTGCTGTTTATCTCTCGTTATTCGTTTGAAGGCCAATTCATTTCTTTGATCGATGGTACCCAAAAGTAAAGCGCCAGTCTCGCCCAAATTCGAATAGTTGTTCAAATTCGGCATAATCGGTATTAGTTTATCTTCTTCAATCTCCTCATCCGTCATAAGTGGGCCAATAGACACATTCTTTAATTCGTGTATCATGAAATCGTTCTCGCCTTCAGTGTACTCCGCATTCTTTTTAATGAGATCTGCTAACGCTGAGAGGTCCAAAGATCGCACCAAGCAGGCAGAATCTGTTTCGTCTTTCTCCGCTGACAATTGACCTAATTTATTACGAGGATTTGGATCGAAGTAGTAATAAAATATCTCTTTTTTATCCTTGTCCTTTGTCTCTTCTTCGTCTTTCCATACTGCCACTGAGAGTCCCTTCGTCTCGACTATTCCATAATTTTTGTCCTCAAAGAATTGATTTAAGCCTTTTTCCAAGTTTGGTATTTTAGAATCATCTGATGCTGATAGATCACCGACAACTGCCGAATCATTGATATCAATAATTACTTTTTGATTTTTGAAATATAAATTTTTCTTCAGATCTCGGACAAGAAGCAATTTTTCAGCTTCTTCTTCCATTGTGATAGGCTTAGTCCAATTGTAATAAGCGTCGCCTTCCCTGATCACTTCATTGATGGTTTCATTACTCCATTTTGCTGCTGGCGTTTCCGTCGCGCTAACCAAAGCCACAACTGGCATAGCGAGACCTTGAACTCCTTGGTTTTCTTCTTCAAATAACTCATCCATGTTGGATATTTCACCTCGTAACACCCACGTCTTTCCTGCTATACCGGGTTGAAACTCGTTCCAAGCTCGAGTGCCAGGCACATCATCCACAATCGTAACATGTCGAATAGTGAACCGATCGTTCTTTCTCGTAGGATCAACATTCTTCAAGAACAGTGCAGTCAAGGAGTCTAAGTCTGGAAATCGAATCACGCAACAATTTCCTATTTCCTTTTTGTCTTTCTGTATAATTTCCTCCTTCTTTTCTGCAACAGTTTTCTCTTCTCTTATCCTAATCCCAGTGGCATCACAATATCGAGGATCGAATAAATAGTAACAATCATCCTGGCTCCAGATTGCCACCGCCATTGAAGTCGTTTCGATCACACCTTCCTCGTTTAGCAGAAAAAACTCTTCTAGTGCCTGTTTCAGATTCAAAACTGACGGCACCTTCGAGGTAATCGTACCGGTCACGGTAATCAGATCGACATCTATCACTAGTTCACGATTTTCTATTTGGAATTTGATATTATTTAAATCGGCCGCTGTCATCATCTTTATTATTGGCTTGTCGGATTTAACTTTAGCATACAATAAGTCACCCATCATCAGGATTTCATCCAACGTCGATCTTACCCATGTCTTCACCGGATGCACTTTCTTCATAGCAATAGCCATCACGCAATTTGCTACGTTTTGTCCACCTTTGCCTTTGTATATTTCCTCGTCTTCATGGGTTAGACCATGAAGAATCGCTATTTTGTCGGGTAATTCCGTAAACGTGGATGGCACGTTTACTCGCATGTCATCATATGAATATTCTGTGTCAAAATTGTTTCGATTCACCAACAACTCTGTAGCAAAATAGCGATCGATGCTATAATTTGAAATATTGATTGATAGCGGTTCTTTTCGTATCTTTGCGAACAATTTTTCTTCCTTGCGCACAGGCTTTGTGCAGTCCACTTTGTGATCATCAATGTCAATAGGATTAATGGATCGT